TGCCCGGCCCGGCGGGGACCCGCGTCCACACGCCGCTGCAGGGACCGCGGAGGAGCCGCGCTTGCTCCCGGGCGAGGCGGTAATTGCGCGGGCGGCCCGGCCGGCCCCGGCCCCTCTGCCCCGGGATGGCCTTGGCCGGGGGGGCCTCCCCCTCCCCCTCCCCCTCCGGGCGCCAGGTGAGGTGCGGGCCGCTTCCGGGGCCCAGCCCGTGTGAGGACACGGCAGACGGGGCAGCGCGCGTTTCCCGCGGGCTCTGGCCTCTCCCACACCCCCTCCGTGGCCTGTCGGGTCTAGGGGCTGAATGAGCGGGGCAGATCCGGATCCAGGAGGCGCAGGGGATCGGGTGGATCCCTGGGGGGGGGGGGGGAGCGCCAGGAGCCGGCGAGGGCCCGGCGGTGCAAGTCGGGCTCCAGCCAGGCCCAGGTCCCGGGGCCGAGCCCGCCCGCAGCCGCCCCGCGGCAATGGGGGCCAGCTGCTCCCGGGGTTGCCGGCGGGCCCAGGGCCGAGGCGCTCCGGGGCGGAGGCACCGGTTGTCTGCTCCTGGCCCGTGTTATCCCGCGGGGCCCGGGCCACTCTCCCGTGCTGCCTTCAGAGGGGCGGTGTGCCCCTGCCGGGGGGGGCTTTGCTTGGAGGACGCATTCCCTGTGCGTGTACGTGTACATACATGGGTATGTACATAGATAGGCGTGTACGTGTGCACACGTACATGTACAGACATGCGTGTCTATGTATATGTGTGCACACGTACATGAACATATGGGGGGGTGTATGTCTATCTACACGTATACACACCTGTATGTACATCTATATGTGCGCGTGCACCTGTATATAAACGCAGTCTCCCGTGTTGCTTTTGTATTTGTCGGTGTCTGTGTATGCACGCCTCGACACCTACGTACACGCACGCATCTAGATGTACAGCTGCGTGTACGTAGACGCGCACGATCTGCCGTCTCCATCCTCTGTCTGTAGATGGACGCGCGCACACGCGTGTCGGGGGCTAGGCGTGTGCACACGAGTGGGCGTGCACCCCCGCCGGGGGCTGTGCGCGTGGCGGGGCCGGGGCCGGAGGGGGCGCGGCCCGCGCGGGGC